AATGGCCTTGGTGCCTGAGGGCACCCCAGCTTGAGGTTTTCTTATTGCTCATCCAAAATAGCTTTCAGCTTTGAGTCTAATTAAGTTGTTGTTATTAAAAGAAGACAAATACACAGAACACCCCCCTCATTCTTTTCCGTCCAAGAATCCAGCATTATGAAAACTGTAACAAAAACGTGAGAGTTAGCAGTCCTGTGGTGGTGGTGTACTGTTGCTGGTGCTGTGAGCTGTTCAGGAATGCAGAGGAACATTTGGGTTTCTGATTACTTTTTGTTTAAAAACTTCAAAGTTGATATTAACTTGATATGTGGTCAATAAAACAATAGGAAAGTATTTGATTCGCTGTGACTGGTATATGCAAAGAATTTTGTTTTGGTTTTTTTGTATGTGTGTATTCATGTTAAAACATGAATTCAAAAAGGCCCCTGACCCCACTATAGCCAGAATATGGCCATTATAAAAGGTGATTTAATCAGCAGCTTTCACTTAATACTCTTAGAGGAAGGGATTGACTCAATCCTTCCCTCTCTTCCCTTCCTCCCTCTCTTCCCCTCTCCCTCTCTTCCCCTCTCCCTCTCTTCCCCTCTCCCTCTCCTTCTCTTTTCGCTCTGTTCCTCCTTCTCTCTCTTCCTCCCTCTGCACCTCTTCCACACTACTACTGACTGCTTTTTCTCACTTGTGGTGAGGGGATAAAATCAGGTAATGGCTCTGTGAGCTACTGTTCTTACTCTTGGGTCATCTGTGCTCCAAAATGTAAAGCATAATTTCTCTCATCTTTTGTAGATAGAAAGAGCTGCTCTGTAACAAAATTACCAGCTTCAAAGAGGTGAATATTAAGAGCTTAGATGTTTCAGGCCCGTCAAGGGAAAACGAAAGGCTCCACAATAGTTAGGATATTTCTCATTGGTTCCGGGTACTCTCCTGTTCGTAAAAATACAGAGAAGTGATGGTAATTTTTAAGTGCCTGCAGTGTCCGTGCTATGATGCAAACCCAGTCCTGAGGCTGGGCTGGAAGCCAGATTTGCTTCTCCACTCCCTGTTGTCCTTCTGGGGCAGCTCGGCAGCCCCACGGTGTGCTCTGCTGGGGGCTGTGCCTGGCCCGGCTGCGTCCCCGTGTCCCCTCTGGGCTCCCAGCGAAAGCTCCACACCAACTACAATGTAACCTGGGGTTCTTCCTAGGCACAGACCCATGTCTCCCACCAGAAGGGGGCGTGAGGTTCTTGAGTTGTTTACTAGGACAAGGATTTGGGGGGGGATGCAGGCTTCAGCCCATACAGCTTTCTCAGGTGAGTTCAGGCATGACCAACTCCTCTGCCTCTCCTCTGTTTTGCGCTGAGGACGTACAGGGTCAGTTGGTCTGGTTTGTGACTTGCGTGCTGCCTGAAGCTCGTACTAGGGATCGGTTTTCTTTGCTGCTGCTTGTCTTTCTCACCACCAATGCAAAGAATTGTAATGCCTGAGACTCCCTGGCCTCGTACTGTTTGTTGTTTATTCATTCTCCTACACGGTGTAAGCAAGACACCATTAACTTTAAATATCACTTCTTTGACAGAACATTTTTTGTTTACAAGTGTCACGGTATATTTAGTACCAAGTGAGTGGTAGAAAACATTTTTTTTCAGGTTCTTTTTACTTAAGGTGTATGTTTTACTGCTCCTGCATAGACTTTGTTTTCCCCACTCTGAGAAACATCGTGTTGGAATATGGAAGATAGATAAAAACTTTTTGGTCAAAACGAAGAAGATGGATTCTGTGACTTGCAAACAACAAAAATGTTATGGGAGGCTTTAGTGATTCACTATTTTAAAAATTGACTAGTTTTAAAGCTGAGCACATGCAACAGAGCACGCTGGGCTCTTAAGCACTGGCACAGTCCGGTGCGGGTGATACAAATCCTTGATCTTCTAAATCATAACTTCTGCGGAGCTGTGTTCTTCGGAAGTGAAAATGGGTAATAAGAAGCAGGTCCTGTTGCTTAGCTGATGACTGAGTGTGAATAGAAAGTGCTTGCAGATTTCTCTCCGAAGAAGCCTGGAAGGGGGTGTTGTGTGTGTGTTAGACGCCTTCAGGAAGGGCCCCTTCGGCGTAACCTCTGGGGAGCGTGAGTTGGGGAGCGGAGAGGGCTGGGCCAGGGATGCTGAGACAGAAAGGATGGAAAGTGCAGGCAGGGAAGGACATCTCAAGGCTTCCAATAAATAATATAAAAAGATACTGGAAGCCTGAAGGGAAGTTATTCTGGAGGTGGATGGATTTGGTGGGAACTTATGCTCTTGCTATGAGCTTTCTAGGAGCTAGAATTGTAATTCCCAAAATAATAAAATCTCAGGAGGCAAGAAAAACTGTAAGAGGTGTATGTAGTTTTACATACAGAGTAGGAAACTGAGAGCATAGAGAAAAGAAGCAAGTATAGGAATACTTAAAAATGTAAAGTTTAATAAAAAAGAAGGATATCTAAGTACAAATTATTTTTCTATTGTGCTAATTCTATTTTCTTTCTTATTTGCTTATAAATTGCACTGATTGAACCTGAGATGCTTTAAATAGTGGCGTAGCTGAGCCTGGTTGGGTGTTGCTACCTCCATTCTAATATCTTGTTTAGGTTTGAATGAAACTCTCTTCACTGGGCAGAGTCAAGCAGTTTTGAGTTTTAGTAAATCCATACAATTTTTTGATTCAGATACTAATTTATTTTTTTATTCGTGCTTGTTGTCAAAATAGCTCAACTTTGTGCCGGGGGTCACTTATTATTTATTCAGTTCTAATACTCTGCTTAGTGTAAATACAAATGTAAAGGTTATCACTCCCCAGAAACGTGTCAAACTGGGGAGGCAAACAGGAACTCGCAGGATTTTTAATGTCACTCTGCAAATTAGTAGTTTTGTACATGCCGTGGGAGGGGTGGCGATTTCAGAGGAACTTGACTGAAGGGAAGAGATGTTTGAAGCTTGGTGCTTGGTGGGAGTATGGGGTGGGAAGATAGGCAGAATATGTCTTGTGGACCAGAAAAATAAGATGGGAAGTAAACAAGTCTGTATGAGGGTTGCTGAGGCTGATACACTAATAGAACATAAACTGAGTAGGAACATGGTAAAAAGCTCCGTCAAATATTTACATTTTTGATGTTGGTGTTCAGGTACTGTGTGGTGTTAAGATGACAATGGTGATTGTAGTGGACCTGAATTTAAAATTATGTGCATTGCTTGAGGAAGGGATAATTTGGGGAGTACCTTTGTCTCTTTCTGGGTATTTATTTATTTCATCTACTTTTTCTCTCATTTTCCTATTTTTTCATTTGTTACTGCTCTACCTTGAAAATAGTTTTAATGACAAAACTTACTCTGCAAGCAAGTCACAACCTGTAGCACTATTTTTCTTCCTTAAGGTTTTTCTAGCATAGAGGCTCGTAACGGTTGTAGATGCCAAAGCCTTCAGGCATGTTTGATATGAATTCTATAACCCCTAGGCACTAGTCACTGCAGCTTGGGGGGTGCTTGTTTTTATGCCAAAGTCTGGCAAAATCTCATTAACTAATCCTTTCACTTGTGTTTTCATAGGCTTAAATGCTGACTTTCCTCCCCCCCTGCTTTTTGTGAGGAGGGAGGTCTGTTTCATCTGGACTGTTCTCAACTGTTTTGTCAATTTTTAGAGATTAGGTGTTCCTTTCCTGTCTATAGCCTTGAAACTCTATTTATGAAATTACCCTGTTCAAACGTTGGTACACTATTTAATTGCAAAACTTTATATGAAAAATAAGCAAACACAGCCTTTTAAAATCTTCTTGTAAATCTGAACCAGGAGCAGAGCTTACCAAGTGTCTTTGTTTTTTCAAAGGTAGTCAGATATCTAATTTCTTTTTTAAATTTGTCAGAACTGGCTCAGTAAGTCCGCAGTCAGGTTTAGGGAAAATTACTTATTTTTCTTTAAGAATGTAAGTAAAAACAATCATATGAATGGAAACATTGAACTGTTAAGTAGTGCCTTGTGAACTAAAAGCTGCTGTAAGGAGATCATAGAATCATAGAATGGTTTGGGTTGGAAGGGATTTTGAAAGGTCATCTAGTCCAACCCCCCTGCAATGAGCAGGGATATCTTCCACTAGACCAGGTTGCTCAGAGCCCCGTCCAACCTGGCCTTGAGTGTTTCCAGGGATGGGGCATCTACCACCTCCCTGGGCAATCTGTTCCAGTGTTTCACCACACTCGTCGTAAAAAATTTCTTCCTTATAATCTAGTCTGAATCTACCCTCATTTAGTTTAAAACCATTACCCCATGTCCTACCACAAAAGGTCCGTTCCCATCTTTCTTATAAGCCCCCTTTAAGTAATGAAAGGCTGCAGTAAGGTCTCCCTGGAAATCTTATGTATAGGCATAAAACTACACCAAAGTAATCCTGACTGTTCATATGTGGGAGTAGAAAGGGATTATCCTTTTACTCAGTACTAGAAGAATCATTCCCAGCTCATCGGATTGTTCAGCTTGATGCCTTCAAAGAGACTTCATATCGACTCTGCTGGCAAAGAGGCAGAGTTTGTGATGGAGACTCAGTTCACTCGTATGAGTTTCATTCCCTGTCAGGGAGATTTTGCTGAAATAACTACATTTCTCTCTGCACACAAAGCTGTAACCTTGTTTCATTGCTCATTCTCAAGGATACAGATGTGGGCTCAAAAGCAAATTAATTATCCACTAACTACGGAATGATACCTTGTGCGTAAACAAAAGGCATTTACCTCATACCCCATTGATGCATCTTGTAATAAATGTGACAGTTATGGCTTTTTTGTCTTATCTCTCTCTTCCTGCAGTGTCCATAAAAGTGTTTCTCACTTGTAACAGATGGTCAGAGCACAGCTTTGAAATTTATCTGGAGATGAAGCCCTGTTGATTCCATTAAAAGTGAAGAGTTTTCACGCAGCTGGAGACAAGGAGGGATTTATTGTTCTTACAATTCTGAAGATGAGGTATTTCATACAATGCCTTCCTTTCCTTTTTGCTTGCAGGTGATGTGCCTTCAGGATTTCTTTGGCGATGATGACATTTTTATTGCATGTGGACCAGAAAAGTTCCGTTACCAGGATGATTTCTTGCTGGATGAAAGTGGTAAGAAGATACATTTTTAAAATGTTTACAACCAGAGTAGGGAGCAGATTTCTATACCATGCTAATTAAGCCAAAACTGTATCACTTAAATTGATTTCAGAGGATAAATATTTTTATTCTTTAAATTCTGAATAGTGAAAATAAGCAGTGACTGAAAGCAAAAATAAAGCTGCCAAGGGAAACGTATCTGCCTATGCAGCATAAAACTTTACTTCAGCTTGTATTTCATACACTGTAGGAAATAGTCATGTGTTTGGTGGAACTCCTTTTTTGCAAGGTCTTTCTTAACGTTTTGTCTTTATTTTCTCTTTGAATTTATTCTGCCTCTTTGTCACAATCTTTCAATGTCACAGTGCTTACAATTGAGATTTAGGTAATGCTTCATAGGTAGTATGATAAAGGAAGATAGATACAATTCTGTATGAAAGATAAATATAATCAGCAAATGCTAAGTCATCTGAGAAAATTCATGGAGTTCTGTTTTCAGAGACTGACTAACATAATATAATCAATGTACATAATCCTCTAAGGAAACTACATGTTTGATTTGCAAATACCTTTATTGTTACAAAGAATATTCCTGCATCAGAACCACAGTAGTAAGAAAAAAACCTATAAGCTTTGTGTGCCTGAAAAAAAAAAGCTACCACTGAAATTGATTTCATTTTTGTGTAGAGCGAGACTCAGAAAAGGTTTTATTGCCCCTGCACTCTTTCTCAGTCCAGGGTGTGTTTGTAATCCATTGGTATCAACTCCTCTCATCTTTTTTCAAAATATCAAAGGTCTCGAAGAACAGCTGATTGACAAATCAGTCAGGAGAGAATTTGTTACGGTAGTAACTTCTTCGTAGTCATCATGTGCATGCTTATTTAACTTCACCACTTCTTCACTGGTTTTGATGCAAATATACATTTAAAATGAAAGATGGTGCAATTGTGTTTCCCTGACTAACCTTTGAAACTGGAAGGCTTCGTGGTTTACCTGGATCCAGACAAATGTATCGGCAAGCACACATTCCGCCTTCTTCTGGAGGACCTTATTATATGAAAATAAAAATCAAGTAATGCACCAGATTTGCTCTTTGCAATAATAAAATTGCTGTAGTTGCCTCTGAGATATAATGTACTAATCATGGAAATGTAATTTTAGCCATCTTTGGGACAGGAATTAGAAAGGTAAGGGGGATGTGTTTGGGTAGCAGGGGAGCTTCGCAGGTGCCAAAGTGGCCAGCACAGCAGTGCTTGCCTTGAATGAGAGGGGAGCCAGAGAGTTGTCTGGATTCACTTGTGTCTCTTATCTGAAAGATGACACTGTCGGCCGCCTGGTGTCTCCTCGCAGTGAATCCTGCGACAGCTTTTCCGGCACTGACTCAGGGAGATGTACTGACAGCAGATTTGTCTAAACCCATTTTTGGAGGTCTCATGTCAAAGTACAGACACAGCCTGACTCTGCCTAGTCTGTATTTGTCTGACATATCATCATCTTTTTGAGTAAGCACTATCTTTCCCTGGAACATTTGTGCTTAAAACCATATTATGCTGAGACAAAAAAAAAGCTTAGAATCTAGGCTGAAAATACAGCTTTAGCAATTTGTTGTGGTGTTTGCTTTTCTACTAGGTAAAGATTCAGTGAACATTGACTGTTTCGACAACAGGAGCAAAAGCAAGAGCAGAAAATCAGACTCCAGACTATGCCTCTAATTCTTTTGCAAAGAGTACATCAACTTTGCTCTCTATTTTTGGAGAAGTTTGGTATCAGAAAACTTGTTTAGGTTGCTTGCCATCAATATGTGATGTACCAACTGATATAGATCTAGTCAGCCTTCTCTGAGGTAGGAGCAAGATTTGGAGAAAGAATTAAAAAACAGCTGAGTTTTCAGCTGGTTTTGCTTGGCATATAAAGTTTGTGTGGTCACACTGTATGTCTTTGTGTTCCTCAATTAATCTAACAACATTAAAATTATCAGTAAGTGCTGTCCAACTGTACAAGGCTAGGAAAGCCTGTCTCTGCTTCCCTGAAAAGCAGCTTGAAGCAGCACTGTGCTAGTCTCTGTCACTACATCCCTCTAGTGTTTCCCAGTTTCAGCCAGATGATGAGAAGAACAGGTAAAGTGTTACAGCTTAAGGGGTAAAGAAAAACAAAATTTAAAGGTGAGAGAGAAAAGTGAAGAGACTAAATAATTAAATAATTAGGGAATTATTTATCAGGGAGGTAGAATGCCCTTGTCCTGTGGTCTGGGTTCAGAGCTCCTGATACTAGGCGCGAGTGAGAGACAAAGTTTCTGTGATTGGAAAACCACTCACTTGTATTGGGATTCATTTTAGCTAACACTAGGTATCAAGAGAGTAGGTACCTCCAACTGAGCCAGTCCCAGTAGGTTTCTTTCCCAGTAAATAAAACTTAGACCTATTGACAAGATAGGTGGTAGATGTTTGATTGACTCAGTTAAAGGTGAATGTTTCGAACAGTTTGTCTGAATTATGCTCCAGAAATGTCTGGTTTGCTTTTATAAAGGGATCTATATGACTGATTTAGCTGTTCTTATCTACATTGTCTTTCTCTAAAGTTGCTGTAAAAACTTTTAGGATGAGATTAATTCCAACCCATCAGAAAGGAAAAGTCTAAAGACTGATGAATCTGCATTATTTCTAGTCATCTTTCTTTATCCTGCTTCATGGCTTGCTCCTAGCCACAGGATAACACCTTCTACAAGTGACAGAATCAGAAATTTAGAAAAAACAGACTAGAAGTCAATGAATCAATCTCCCTGTCTAAGTGTGGGTTTAATATTCCCGATTTTGTTTGATATACTTGTCTAACATGCCCCTTTAACGCCTCTGATGAGGAGGAATCTGTAACCGTCCGAAACATTCTGTGCCAGTGGTGAACTATCCTCAGTGTTTTACTCGAGCTTCTCTTGCTGTGGATGAAGACCATTACTACTTTTCTTATCTACTGTGAACATGGGAAACAGATGATTCCTTTTTCTTTGAAAAAACCTGTGGACTGCCATGAGTCTCATCAATTTTGTCATCTTTTTGTTTTGACTTCAGGCTTAAACTTGTTCTTGAAGGAGGGAGTGTGCTCCTTCTTTGTATCATATCCCTTTTCTGTTTTATGTCTTTCAGGAAGAGGCACTGCATGTCCCCTTGGCAATCAGTTAAGAAAAGTCAGTTAATTAGGGATCCATCCAAGAGAAAAACAAGCAGTCGGCACTATACATTGCAGTTTCTTCTTTCTTCCTTGATGTACAGATGGTTTTCATATTAAACACACTGTTTATTGCATGAAATAATACGGAATCAATAGTCACCACCCCCATCACAATTCCTAGCAATCATCTCCATATCTGACCTAATTGATAGATACGATAGCCACACACGCTTCCATCAAGAGATCTGCAAATGGGACGTGAAGATGCATGGCAATGAGCAGAAAATTAAGGAGTGAATACTCCTTGTTTGTCAAGCATCAGTAGTGATGCTATTTTCACAGAAAGTTTTTGTGGGAAATATAAGCACAAAAACATTATATTGAGGAAGCACACATTACATCAGCCAGCTTGTAAGAAGAAAAATTCCTCAGCGTAGAATATGGCAGTGGCTGCTTCAGGCATTGTTAGCTTGCAGTTCTGGAAACTTTCCCAGAAATCCCAGGTTTTCTTTAACTGATGGTGGTTCAGTTTGCAAAGGAGAGAAGTCAGAGGATGGTTTTCTATAGCCCTCAGCTGCATGTTGGCAGAAATTAAGGTTTAAGGGCCACACTCACAAAAATATTTGCAATCAGCTATTATTTAGGTATCTAAATAGGATTTGGCAATGTAAGTAGCTCATGGGATTGGCCTTAAATGAGAACATCTCCTTGGCTTATACAGATATTTCTTTCTTAGTGTTGTAAAATAAGAAAGTTTTGGAGGCTGACAGTATCAGACTTTAAATTTTTTAAAAATAGTTTATTTTTTATGTTAGCTAGTGTTGGCTGAGTGCTCTGGAGGCTTAAGAGTCACACAAACCTAAGTGTGACAGACTTCATCACATACTGAGGAGCATCATGTAGAAGGGCTATCTCAGCTGACCAAAGCCAGTGTCTGCCTCCAAGCAGAGCGTAACCAGTACAATGTGTCTGGATGTGAAAACAACTGCAGATCACTTGTCAAGAGCACATATTACTGTTACGGAAACAATGATGAGAATGGCTCTCTTCTAGGGGAAAATTAAGGCTGGAATCTTTGAAACTTAATTTCACTTTAACTTTGCTGGCCTGTGTTCATCCTCAGCTAAGCATCTCTGTGCCAGCAGTGTTACTGCTTCATCTTGCCAGCAGCAGACCACTTGCCAGGAAAATCTGAGTCCTGTGGTGTCCGCACACGTGTGTGTGCACATGAAGGCATGCACAAGCATCTGAGTCAGTAACTGCGGTTAAGGGCAGGAGTATCACGTTTGTCCTGGTTAATAACTGTCAGGTTTCTCTAACCTCCATTACTCTGTCCTTCCTAAAAGACGGAGGAAAGGGAAATCGGCTCTAGTACTTGTCTACCCTGATTTATAGGACAGACTGATGTGTTAAGCAGCTCTTGGCTGGACTTAGGAGTGGAGAGCATGCTAGCTGACTTACTCTGCCCTCGTCAAAAACTCGTGCTTTGGCAATTGGAAAGTAGCGGTGAGTTCTGGGGACTTTGAGATATAGCTTGCTTTCAACAGAGGCATAAATATAAAGTGTTCCACTGCAGTGTGATATTTTCAAATGTCAACAACTGCTGGGCCTTGGAGAAAGATATTCTGTGTACAAGGCAGAAGCGAATGAAGGCAGGAGGGACCAGTTGTCTGGCTGTGTGTACCATTTAGACTAATGTTTCCAAAAGGGCAGAAGGAAAGAAGCCATTTTCCTGTGGATTTGCATCCAGTTCCCCCTGTATTTTCCTACTCCAAGACTTCCAGTTCCATCTCCACCCTCTCATCATGCCTTAGACACTTGCACATCACCCTCAGCTCCCTCCTGTT